TTTAACCTTAGTCTCAAACTTCTTACCACATCCACAATCATAACTGCTCATACACTTCGTCTTCATTTTCAAATGCTTTTTCAAATCCGCTTCTTTTTTAAAAGTTCTCTTACAATCTTCGCACTCCATATATAGACTAACATATTTGCGCTGTTGCCCCCAACCACACTTGGAGTGGGTTGTTTCCGTAGGTGGATTTTTGACGCGGGTCTTACCCCGTGTTGAGATTGCGCTGGAACCCCCATTCCCTATACTACTTAATCAAATCAAGGACCCGATTTAAGACATATTTCCAAAGACTTTCTAGACGTGTGTTTTTTTTTTCCTGTTTCGAATGCCGTGATTTGCATTGAGTATAAAATTATCCGGTAGTCTTGTTCATTCATTCCCTGCTAGCAGAGCCTAATTTCCTTTTGTTTTGGTTGAAAGAAGGGAGAGAAAGAGAAGAGAGACTCTGCTAGCAGGGAAGTTCATTCACGACTCTTGAACTAAAGATTTTTTAAGCAACATTCATAAAATTCTAAAAAGAATTTCTAGGATTGTAATAAGTAACTTCTTATTTTAAAAACATGTTAGAAATGTGACGACGTTTCTCTAGAATTGTGAGAGATAAAAAGGAAAAAAAGGGAAAAAGAATCAATACGCCACAGAGTAAATAATTCAAACTCATAAATCATCAATTTTTTTTTTTTCTTCTTTTGATTCTTTCTCTCTTTTTTCTTTCTTTTTGTTTGTTTGTTTTTCCGACTTTCAGTTTCCCTATAATTGGGTAGCCTGTGTAATTTTAATTTCAAAAGATGTATCCCAGCATTCCTTTTGGTAATGTTTTCCCGCGTGTTCAGATTAGTTTGGACAAGAACAAGTAAGTGAGATTTTTATGGGATTTTTAAACTTCAAAGATTATCTTTCAGTACTAATAAAATGCCAGGACGTAATCTTTAAACCTTATGATAAACGCATTTATGAATTGCTATTTTTCGTTCACTTTCTTCGGCTGTTTTACGTGTGATAAATTATTCAAGGTTTGCTAGCTTGCGCTTCAAGTCTTCTAATTTCCTCTTTTTAGTACCTTTCTTTTCTTTTAGTAACATTGATTATTTCAATCGTAGAAAATGTAAAGGGGGGGAGGGTGGGGGGAGGAGGTATGGGGTCTTTGGCAGTCAATCATCATCATCTGTGCAATAATGTCCAAGTTTTACAGGGCCGTAACCAGAACTTTTACAGGGAGGGTGCACAACGAATAAAATTGGACATTTGATCGTTTCTTTTAAGAAAGCAGAACCAAAAAAAAAAGGAAAAAAAAAGGTAACCAAAAGGAAGGAGAACCCCCCCCCCCAAAAAAGGAGATGGATGAGCGGACCTTAATCTTTTATGGGGGGGGTGCACGTGCACCCTGTGCTCCCCCCATAGTTACGGCCCTGTTTTAGGTTTAAATGGACAGTAGTCTTGCCTGTTTATATTAAATCACTAGCTGAATTCCGACTCAACCTGTGAGTTAGCCATGCCCTGACGTTTCAGAGCCGAATAAAAGTTGAAGGTTTTTAAGGGAGTTGATTCACCAATTATTGGTCTAATGGATGACATAAATTCATTATTGCTCCAACGTAATGCATCATAATGTATCATCTTAGTTCTACTCAATTTTTAACAGTATTTAAAAGAATAAAGTCAATAACTATGGACACAGTTGCTTCAAAAAAGCCCCACTTAGGGAAAAAGATAGGCACACACAATGGCACATTTCACTGTGATGAAGTACTTGCTTGTTCAATGCTGAGACAACTACATGAATACAAAGACGCTGAAATTATAAGATCACGGGATCCAGCTATTCTTGGTGAATGTGATGTTGTTGTTGATGTTGGTGGGGTGCATGAACCAGACAGAAATCGTTATGATCATCACCAAAGGTATATTAATGGTAAATCCAATTTTCATTTATATCTTTCATATTTCCCACCCCTCCCAGGCTAAAATATGTCTGGTCAGTTGCCAGTCATGATGGATGGCCAAATTAGTCTTAGCCCAGTCATTACCTTGTGAATGACTACCAATCAAATGTACTGACCAATGTCCATACCTAAACCATACATAATTCAAAGATTTGACTTGACAAGATTCAATAAGCCTGAAGCGAGATGACGTTTTACCTCCGACTCTATACCATAATAGTTTTTCAAATTCTTTCATATTAAAATTTTTGATTCCTTAGATAATACAGGAACAATAATCATAATTAAAGAACAAAAGCAGTGTGAAAAGGATTATGGTCTAGAGACGGGGGTAAAACATCAYCTCGCTTCAGGCTTATTCTGGGGCTTATTTTTAATACACTTATCTTTTCATTGTCCTACCCCTCCCTTGCCATTTCAAAAGATAGAACAGAGAGGGCCCATTATTGATATATATATATATCCTAAGAGCTGTCAACTGTTTTTTTATTTATTTTAAGAGTATATTTTTGTCAGCTGAGTTTTTTGAGTGGGTGCTTGTTATGATGAATGATGGTCTGGTCTAAGCAGTATTTTTAGTTTTTAATCTTTTTATAGCTTGAGCACGATGTTTTTATATTTCGGTAATTTTGGGAGCCTGATTCTAAAATAAAAGTCTATATTCAGTGAAAAAGAAATTTATATTTCTCAAGAAATAGAATTTCTCAAAAAATAAAGATGTGGTCTGACATGATCAAAGTGAAATGACAAATTGATATATTTATCTAGAAACAATGTTGCCAGGGGGGTTGTCATTTATCAAAACAAAATCCCACTTTTATTTGTCATCACTGTAATCTATAAATAGATCTTTTCTAAATTTGGTTGAGTGATCAAAAAACTTAAGCTCCAAGTCGTGGAGATTGAACTTGTTAAAAATAGTTATAACATATGAACACTTCTGGTCCAACCTCAACTTGGAAACTGTGTTTTGATGTCACTTATTTGAAAAAAGAGTATTTTTATCATGTTTTTACAATTTGAATGAGTTTCAAATAAATTATTAATAAACTTGATGTTTAATTTAAAGGAGTTTTAAAGAAACCATGAAGAGCTTGACTAATTCACGCAAACCCTGGGAGATCAAACTGAGCAGTGCTGGCCTTATATACCTACACTTTGGCCACAAAGTATTAGGAAATATTTTGGATTTGCCTGAAAATGACCCAGTGACAGATGAGATCTTTGATAAGATATACTTGAACTTTATTCAAGAGGTTGATGCAATTGATAATGGTGTTAACCAAACTGATGATCTACTGAGGTAATTGTACATGTAATGTAGACAGATCTTAATAAGAGAGGGAAGGTGGGTGCAAAGCAAGACTTTTCTGAGTTTGACAAACAAGATGCATTCTGGTCAGCTAGCTTGGGTACTAACAGCTCCATGTAAAAACATGATGAACAAAAAATGTTTTTTTAGGGTTCGTGCAAGATTACGATGCATGATATTTATTGCCCATCTCAGAGAATGTTTTGATTAATTTTTAGTAAAGTTATTAGTGTATCCTTAAATATTTTGTCTGTATTTCAGATATGAAATTAACACAAATCTAAGCACAAGAGTCGGAGAATTGAACCCTAGATGGAATGATCCTAACCCTAATGAACAAGTGAGTTGATCGTTATGTATTCTAAAGAGTGAATGAGTGAAGTAATGGGTTGATGATGAATCTATGAATGAATGTGAGAATGGGTGAGTAGGTAAATAACTGGATAAATGTATGTCAATGAATTAATGGGAGAATAAATAATGTGGAGAATTAATGTTGGAAATAATTTTTGGTGATTGGGGATTTTTATATTAATGTGTTACATAATATTAAGGTATGTAAGCTTTATTCAGTGAAGCAAAATTAAGAAGTAATTCTAAGTTAGTATTTTCAAAGTTTTCCATAACTGCCAGGTGTCTTATGATGACAAATTTTAATATATTACTTATTGCATTATCCTATCACAGGCACAGTTTAACAAGGCCCTAGAAATGGTTGAAAGGGAATTCTTAAACAAAGTGTTATTTTATAAAGACAGTTGGCTGCCAGCAAGAAGCTTAGTGGAAAAGGCAATCAAGCAGCGATATGAGGTGAGGATAAATACCTTTGGTGGTAAGGAGGGGTATTAATGTTGGCAAGGAATTAGGTGTTCCATGCTGAAAAATCTGGTGAAAGATCCCAGAGGTTGTTTTAGGGTTCGATCTGTGAGTTAGTTATGCCGGACTCTGATCAGCCCTGGGGTCATTTCAGAGTTCAATCTGTGAGTTAGTCATGCCCTGACTTCAATCAGCCCAGAGGTTGTTAATTTGAGAACACTATAACAGTTTTTTAATGTAACTATTTTGTTTTATACATAATTTTGACAAAGGTTGATTCAAGTGGAGAAGTGATTGAATTAGACAAGGCAGGTTGTCCATGGAAGGACCACTTATTTGAACTTGAAAAGCACCTTGAAGTGAAGAAACCCATAAAGTTTGTCATCTATCCTGATAACAGTGAAAAATGGAGAGTTCAGGTGAGGTTTCATCAACTGTTTGAGGAATTGAGTGATTAATGGTAGGCTGTGAGAGCTTTTTTTTAAGTTAATGGTAAATCATTGTAGGTTGCAAATAGGATGTTGGTAAGTTAGAAGACTTTTTGTGAGGTCATTGATTGGTCATCAGAAGGATGGAGGGTAGTTGGTTGTAGTTTGCTGGAAGGCTCTTGCCAGCTTTTTCATAAAGGTTTGTCTAAATAATCCTGATAATAATTTTCGAAAGTAATAAGAATAAATATGTAAATTACTAAATTTAAAAACATCTTTTTCAGTGTGTTCCAGTGCGATCCCAGTCATTTGAAAACAGGTAAGCTATGCTATTATAACCATTACTCAGGGCTTTCAAAAGTGGCAAAATGTAATAAATAGGCAGGGAGCAAATCTTTCACAACTTTCCCCTAAATTTTGGGAACTTTAATCAAAATAGGCAGCAAATTCATGTTAAACACCGGGCAAGATTTGCTGGCTGCCAGCTTCTATTGAAAACCCTGATTACTGCTATCAAAATTTGAGCTGCAGAATTAATAACAACCATTTAAAGATTTGCACTAGTTTAAAATCCTAACATTTGATGTCTTTCTGTTCATCAGGCTAAGCCTGCTGGAAGAATGGCGTGGTATTAGAGATGATGAGCTGTCAAAACTCAGTGGAATTCCTGGCTGTGTGTTCGTTCATGCCAATGGGTTTATCGGTGGAAATGATACTAGAGAAGGTGTTTTAGAAATGATAAGAAAAACATCAGAGCAATCTAAATGATGCTGGCAATATTTTTATTGTTGTAATAGAAATGCATTAAATATATTATGTAAATACGCATTTGATATGTAGACTGTCTTCTCATGTGTAGCCATGGCAATTATTGCCTCTAGCTTATGGCTTTCAAGTTTCCTTAACTAGGGATTGTATGTGAGTAAAACTCAAACTTGTTTTATTCGGGAATCCTTTATGGATGGTAGAATAAATTGAAATCTCAAAGCCTAGGCCTAAAATACGCCTCTAGAATGATTTATGTACTTCTAAAGCCAATAAATATTTCTGCCTTAAAAATTGAATTATATTTATAAAAAACATTTCCAAATATTATAATCTGTTAGAAATCGTCCAAGGATGTTTTAAAATAGCATCTTTTAATGCCCCACAGTACGTCTGATCGAATTTCCCCAACTCTTCTCTCAGGCTTTCAAGAGCCGCAATACCATCATCACCATGGTGATATTCATTTATTGCATCATACACAGCCTTAAAGACGGGCCATTTTGTTCCATGAAAGGCTCCCCTGTTACCATGGAGAACTGAGATACCATTGGTTTGAGCTGTTTTACAGTTGCTTCCATACATACAGTGGTCAGGCCTCAAGTTCCATTCACAATTAAAAACATACAACAGCTCTGAAAAAAACAGCATTGAGAAATGAAGAGATCTGAAATTTTTGTCATACATTTTAGGCACCCAAAGTGGACCTTGGTTGTTGGGGAAACGTTAAATCCATTTTTTTTAAATAAGAGGGAGGGTCTTAAAGTTTTTAACTTTAGAAATGGGAGACTTGACAAAAGCCTGGTTTACCAATTTCTCACTTTTCCCCAACTGTACTTTACAAAAATATTCACAGGGTACATAATGCAACACAAATTGTGCAATCATTATATTCAGTCACAAAAAAGAGTTGGATAGTAATTTGTATAACATTTTAGGGTGTAGCATGGGTAATCATACATTCTCATACTCATGAATATTTAATGAGGAGAAAACAAAGCAAATCACTACTGTGACAGTGGTTTGGAAATGTGTTCTTAATTTGCATTAAATTTCATAAACTTTTTCCTTTGATTTTCTCCAAGAAATATTCATTAGTTTGAGAAGTAATTTCAAACACTTGAGAGAGTTCTTCCTCCGATTTCCAAACACCTCAAAGTCAGTTAAAAAAACTCGGCTGCGCCTCGTTTTTTCAACTCACTTTTCGGGCTTTGGAAATCGAATTTGAAATATTACTACCAGAGTCATCAAAAAATCCACCTATTAACCATTCCCAAGGTTGAGGTAAAAACTGGTTTGAACTAGCATTGCAGTATATTGTGGGACTACTTTAGGAGCCAAAATAGAAGCCAGCTTTGAAATATGTCCCTAAAACAGTCTCTTAACATACTGCAATACTATCTCAACCAAGCTTTTTGCTCAATCTTGGAATAATGCTGCACACTAAAATATCCAATAAGATATATTTATTTTTTGAAATTTTATTTATCTTTACACCTACCTGGATGAAAATGGAAAAATATATTCAGAATATCTTGGTCACCCCAGGTGATATCCAGTTTGTATTTTTTGTATATTGCCAACATGTTTTCTACCCAGTCATGTGATCTCATTCTTGTCAGATTCATCAACATAACACCTGAATTTATTCCTAGTTGACCATAATATGGATGCCTTGCAAACCTTTTGTACCAATTAAGCCCTGGTACTTCCCCCTCTGGGCTCACTGCAGCAAGCTGTGTTGAATTGAAGTCACTAAAATGCTGCCAAACATCCTCGATAGGACGTAGAACCAAACAGTCGGTGTCCATGTAGATCAAGCTATCAATATTCTTCAACACAGACTATCAAAATAATGTCAAAATGTTTATTGATATAAAGAAGAAAAATGTATTTGGTAGAATCCATAAAAATATATCCTTTCCATCAGCCAATCAGAAGTGAACATTCTCATGAATATGGCTGATGGCCTTGGAAACCTTAAATTTAAAGTTATAACATTTTGGAAAAACTTTGTTGTGTTATACTCAAGTTAAACTTTAATATCCTTGCTAAAGTTACTTACTGGGAGAAATAATCTCTGTGCTGCACAAGGTTTAAAAAGGCTCTTCCATTCACCACTTGATTTCCCACTGGGAAACTCCAGAGAATATACCTTATAGACAACTTGGCCATCATCAGTACATGGCCAAACATTGATGATGGATTTGATTTTATCGTGGTGCTCATCCTCAGCCAATATGTGAAAGTACAACTGTCTTTTTGTGAATAAAGTGACTGATTTTAACATTGTAGTAGCTTCCTCCGTGCGCTCCCCACAAACCACGACAGCTACATGGATCAGCTGAGCTTGTGGTTGAATATAGCTTGGTTCATAACTGTAATGAGTAAACAAGTAGAAAAGTTTTTTGTATGAGTGTGAAAAGATAGTGGTGCTGTATGCATGCCTTGCCGTTACTGATATTTTCTAGAATTTTGATTGGCTGATTTTTTCTCGTAGGTTATGATAGTGAGTCAAATGGAGAGTCATAAAAATTTGTGCAAGTCTTCGAGGGGGCAGGGTTACTATGTTTTGTAAAACATTATGGAGACCAACAATTTTTCTGCAGCAAGGCGAAGGCCTCTTTAAAAAAATGCATTAGCCCTACTTCGCCCCCCTTATAATCCATGACCTCTACACGTCATTTACTGGCTTTAATATGTTTATATTTTTTTGTAAGTTTACTTTCTAAAGAAAAGCTATATTGGGAGAGATATATCCCTTATAAGTCTAGGAAACTTATAAATATTTAGCTTGGTTTCGACGGCTTTCTTCATACAAACTATAAATCGAACAAAGGTATGTTGGCCGATTTGATAGAAATTTAATCCCTAATACCATAACAAACGCCGAGGTCATCATATGCTTTTGGTCAAGCTTCAAGTAAATTATATGTAGTCGATAAGAAAACAAACGCATTCAAGAATGAAATAAGACGCCATCATATGTGGCAAGGCTAATATTTTTTTTCAGTACAACGTAAGATTGTAAACTATTTTAACTATTCCATTAAACGTAAGCTCAATTTTTAAGGTTTATGTGGAAATCATTTCAAGAAATCCCCTCACCTTTGAACAAAAGAAGCGGCTGTATTTATAGAAGAAATAATTTCTTTGTGAGAAGCTGCTACAGTTGAGTCAAACTGTTGATTTCTTTTTGTAGGACTTGATATAAGATTCTCTCCTGAAAACATCCATAGTAATGAAATCTCGAAAAATACGATGACACAAATGGCTAGAAGGATAATTTTTGAGATGATTCTCATYTTTGTAGTACAGCTTTAGTGCACGAATAAATCAGAATGATATTTTAACATTCTGTACTTCGGAGTTTCAAACTCATTTCAAGTGATTTATTGATCACTCCTGGTAATGTTGCTGTCATTGAGTCAATCAATCACAGCTCTTCGAGTTTCTTCGGCGCAACTTCGGCGACACTTCGGCGACCCTTCGGTGCTATAACGAACAACACAGGAAGACCAAGCTTAACTTAAAAATCTCTTTACGTTTTTTCAAATTGAATTTCTTTTTTGGCTATTATGCTATCGCTCTGAAAAACATAACAGTATACTTTATACAGTAAATTATCATAAAGACAAATAAGTATAATTCTGGAAAAAGAAAAACTACTATTTGTTTAATCTTAAAAGATTGGGCCCCCTGTGGCGATGTTCGTAACCGGGCTTTTCGATTTTCAAAATGGCGGATGAAGGTGTATTCAACTGTTGCTTGAAGATTAGATCTTTATTAAGATGGGAAAAAACACCTTTGGTTGTTACTAATTGAAAATATTACTGTTTTTTTTACGTATTCATTGGGTAAGTCAGTTAATATTTATTATTCATTATTGGAGGTAAGAAAATTAAGCTCTATTTAAAATACTGCAAAGGTTTTCTTTGCTAAAGTTTTTTTTATTCGTTTTCTAGAGAAATAACCATGGAACTTAATCTCCAAGTTAACAAAATAGTTTTGGAATATTACACCAAGATGACACAAGAATATGATAATGGGGATATCAAACCACCTGACGTCATCCTTCCTCCAGTCCCTGATATACCTGAAGGCTGCACGAACCTCCCCTCCCCCCATCAATATTTACTGCCATCGGTCATCCTCTGGGATCCTTTACAGCAGCTTGATTGCTTCAAAGATGGAATAAAATGTCCATTTGAGGTCCATGGTGATGAGGAATATTTACTGGAGCCCAGGAAATCACGCAAAGGGGAGTTTTGGTGGCATGCTGGATTGCGGTCTTCACTTACTCCACGACAGCTCTGTAGCTCAAGCTGGCCTGCTGTTCTTTTGAGTAGGATGTATTTTTGTACGGGAAAGATAAATCACAGAAACTATATTGCACATGATCCAGAGATCTTGTCAAAGATCCCAGCGTCTGAGTCCCATAATATCCCCTTCATCTTACTCCACAGAACTGGCTTTACTAAGGAGCTTTCTGAAACAGTCTTGTCTCTAGTGATGTCAGGCATGGATTTAGAAAATGTGGAACAAGTGATTTATCAACAGCACATTACAAATTTCACCCATTGCAAGGCAAAGTATGAGGAAGATGCGAAACTGTGTCTTGCAAATGCCCAACTTCAAGAGATGTCAACTACATTTCCTGATTATAAACCTATTGGGGTTCCTTCGATGGAGATGATCCTAGCCTCCTTACTTGATAACTTCCAAGAAAGAAAAATTTATTACAATCAGAGGATGAGTGAGCTCTCAGGAAAGGTTTTATTAATGGGTCATTTTTATAAGGCAAGCCAGCAAATGGGTACCACAAGCACCAATGGGAATGGATGGGTCCCAAAGTATGATTACATTTATACTGTCATGAACGAACATGGCCAAGTGATTGCTTGGCAAGTAACTAAAGGGACAAACAGTGAAGATGTGTCGACCTTGATCAAGAATGTCCACCAACGTCTTACTAACCAAGGTGTGAACATTGACTTGATTCTAACACCAGATTGTTGCGAACAAAGAGATTGGTTGACTTCTGTCTTTGGGCCCAGAGTGTTAGTAAAAATGGACCCTTGCTTTGCCATCCAAAAACTAGAAAGAAGATTCAAGATAAGAAAAGGAGACCATGATCATGTGCAAACTTGTGTCCAAGACTTTCATCTTGTCTTCCAAAGAGGAACAGACTTGGGCTGCGAGCGCAAAGAAGATACACCATCATCAGGTGTAATAGCTGAGAAATTGGATTCCTTTATTTCTCAATGGAAGAATGTCAGGGGAGAAAGTAACGAGAGATTGCTGCATGATCCTGCCTTACGAGAACTGGAGTCATTAAAAAGCTGTGTCAGTAATGGTTGCTTGACTCACATTCCTCCACACTTAGGGGCAAAGTTTGTGAATGAATTGAGGAAGTATCTTTATCCTGTTCTCCACAGACGCTTCTTGAATGCAGACTTAACTATTCCAGTTCTTACTTCGTTATTTTACTGTTGGAATGAAAGGCATGGTGAAGCCTTTGAAGGAGAAGCTATTCCTATTTCTTCATACAAAGCTACTCTGGATGCCATTTCTTTCATTCCTACAGGTGAACAATTTGGTTGTGTTGAGAATGACCTTGGCCTTGACGAAGCTCAGGAAAATGAAAACTGTCAATCACCACTGACCCAACACCTGACATCAGTTCACTCAACCATGTTTCAAATTCTCTTTGCAACTGATCATGATTGCAGCAGCAATGCGGCCACACCTTTGACCGAGTCAAATGTGCACAACCTTGACATGGCTACTTTTAACAAAGTAACTGTGCAAATAGAAAACTACACCCATGTCTTACAAACTCTCAAGTCACTTTGCCCAGATAACTTTCCAGTCAATTTGTGGCATCATCATCTACTTCCATGTTGCACTTCACTATTCAGCAGATGCGACTGTCAACTTGAAGACAAGGCCACCCTTGACAACAAAATGAAGACAAATCTGGAATCATTTGGTGGGCGTTTGGTGAATGATGAGAGTGATTCTGATGGATTTTTTATTGCGTTGGCTTTGGGTATTAATGAAATGATAAATTCTTTGGAGAAGGAAAACCCAACAGAATTAGCTCAGCTAAAGGAAAATCTAACTTCGGTTGGTTACATTGTAGATGAATGCAGTGATGATTTAAACGATGCATGTGTTGCAGTCCTGCGCCAAATCATTTGTACAGAATGGCAGAAGAACAAGGCCAAATATGCTAAGCTTTTGACGTCACCTTTGCTTAATCTTGAAGTAGAAGCAGATGTATTCCAACACAAAGGATACTATCAAGGTTTGAACGACAATACACTTCCAAGGTTAAAAATAACAGCAGTGAACGTAAACGCCTGCCTTGCAGGCTAGTCTATTAGGCCAGTTCTCTTTACTGGTCATGTGATGTTGATCATCAATCCAATGTGGCTAGTTATCATGTCCATCAAATATTTAGCTGCCTTTATTTTTAGTATAGTTAATAAGGGAAATGCATTCCTTTCTATCAATATGTTGTTAGCTCTGAATTTTTTGTGCAATTTATGTTTCTTTTTACAAGTTTAAGTCAAATTTTAATTCAATTTCAAGGAGTTAAAATTCCAAGCAGTGTCATTATATTTTATGCTTTTCTTTTCTTTTGTAGCCGAGATGGCCAACATTTTGCCTATTGCTGCTATACAAGTATTCAAGATTCCTCTTGTTATCTTCACTTCCATGGATAAATTTCCTGTTCTGCCACTGGTGCCTGTAGACAAGCTAGTTACATCCAAGTGTCTTTACATGGCACATTCTGCAGCAGGCTTTGGTAGCTACTACCCAGTAACAGTCACCCTTTCCAAGAAATCCTCAGACAAGCCAAAACATGTCTGCCGTTGTGGCCTTGGCAACTCAAAGAATAAACAAGAGAGAAGCTTTTGTATCCATGTTCCAGGAAGGTACCTAACGAGGTGCGAGTGTTTCCGTAATGGGGTGGCATGTAACCATTTGTGTCGCTGTTTTAACTGCGCTAATCCACAAGGCACATCTAAGGAGAGCAGGGCTTTGCATGCCTGTCAGAAGACCAGACTACGTGGAAGACACAAGCTTCAACAAATTAGAAGGCATCCTTCTAGTTTAGAAGATAGTGACATGAAGACCTTGTGGAATGAACAGGAATGTCTTGCATTTCAGTTTATTGTCGATGCCTTGAAATTTTCAGACAATCATTCTTCCACAGAAGGCAACAACCCAGAAAGAATCCTAGAAGAGTACCAGAACCTACAACAATGCAGTGGTAACACCAAGTTCATGAAGGAAAAAACACTTGATGAAATCAAAGTACACTTGAAAATGTTTTCAAGAAACCTTGATACATTTCAAGCACTTCACATGAAACAAAGTGAAGAAAACTGGGGTAATGTGCAAGTCAGTTCTGTAGATGTTGAAATGTCTGGTGGAAACCAACTAGTTGTAATAGTGGAAAGTTCAGAGTAATTCAAAAGGATGGGAGAAAATTGGGGATTATTTTAGTAGCTCAGTGGCAAAACACCAGTTTTCATTCGATGCATACTGGTGTTTTTGAAGACCACAGACTCATTTGCACAGGCTTAGTCTATTTATAGGTAAGCTATTCACAGATACCATTAAAAGTCTATGGGATTTCAAGACATTGGTATTGTTCAAGCTGCACCTTCTTTATTTTACCGTTGACTTTTGCAAGTGATGTGCTCCAATTACTAGCCTGTGCAGATGAGTCTTAAGTCACAGTGGTATTTATTGAATGAGAAAAGGAACTATTGCACTAGTTTAAAATCTCAGTTCTTCTTGGGAAAAAAGACAGTGATAAATATTTAATACCGTTATTGACAAAAGAAGAGACTTGAGCTCCAAATAACTATTTTGCCACCATATTATATATTTTGATACTCTGTCATGTGTTTATAATTGTGTGTATTTTGTCTAATTTTTTGTGGATATTTTGTACATATTATTTACACATTCTGTACAATATATTAAACAAAAAGCCCTTTGGCCAGATTTATCTTGAAGAATCATCTTGACCTTGTTTTTGAGCTTGCTGTGATGGGTTGATTCGCATTCTCTTTCTTGAGTAATACTGCCAGTGAAGTATTTGTTGTTCGTCAATGAATTTAGCACAAGGTGGATTGACTAGTTCTCTTCTGAAGTGCTCATACTGTAGCAGTTCTAAGAAGTGGAGACACTGTGGGTACCTGACAGAAAATTTTTTATTAATCTATAATATTTATTAATCTATAATAACATTAATGAGATTTAACAATGGTTTCATAGAGTTGTTCTTCTCTCACTAAACTCCAATTTAAATTTAGAAGTTGATTTTTGCACAGGGAACCCAAAGAAAACCCTTAAAGCACAGGTGAGAATCAGCAAGCAACTCTGATCAAACTACATTAAATAACCCCATGAATTTTCATACATTTACTATAAGTATATGTAGAGTAAGCTTTTATAAGTACTCAAATCCCTGACACAGGGGCGCATGTTTCCTCTAAAATCCACGACCCCTTGCCTGGCTACCCCCCTCCCCCTCCCCCCATCTCACACAGGACTTCCATTGATAGGTGCATAACTTACTTCAGATACTTTGCATATTCTGGTCTTTTCCAGTAGAGAAGATACTTAAGGTAGTTTATGAATGACTTTTCTTTTAGGTATCCTCTCTGAGCTAGAACTGAAAATAAGTACATTAAAGATAAGACATTTAGTGAAAACCAATGTCATCACCTTAAACTCTTTGCCTAGGAAGCCTCAACAACACGTTCTGAGACTTCATTAATATTTCATACACAATATAAGACATAACAGCGAGTAAAAACAATTAAATTCTTATAAGTACGGTAAAATAAATATGTCCGAATTTCTTACAATTCAAATAGTAAGGATTTCCGAGACACTGAACAAATTCCAATTCCACTTGAAATCTCGTTCTGGCTGAGTCTTCTGATCCTAAAATAAACACACACATATATTGTTAATATCACTATTATTCCATATGAGCCGTTATTCAGGCTTTAACTCGAAGAGAAGACAGTCTTTTTACCGTCATTCTGTTCTGCTTGATTGTAGCCCATTGAACTTTCGGACGCCATTTTGAATTCAAGCGATCGACCGCTGGAACTTTGGTCGTGGGCGATACCAAGTGAGTATTATGGGATGTCTTCTCGACTCTTTCCAAAATGGCGGAAGAGTTTGGACCACGTTACGGGAACAGAGGAGGTGGATTTTTCGATCAATTCGGAGGAGAAAACCGGTGAGACCAATTGAAATGCTTAGTTCCATTACCTTGAAATCTCATATCTGAATTCTGGTTTTATAGTGACCGAGGAGGCGGTAGAAATCGCGGTGGTCGTGGATCTGCACCGTTCCCAACAGAACCCCCTTTCACGGCCTTTGTAGGGAATCTTCCACCAAATACTATCCAAGGAGATCTCGATCAGATTTTTGAAGGATTAAAGGTTTGTTATAGGAAATATCATTTAGCGAGGTGCTTTGTGGTTCGTTCAACTGTTGTTGTGTATAAGTAATTCATTGTTTCTGAGGTACACTTGCATGTACGCGTGTTTCTGTCCTCTCTGTCCCATACATTTTAACTTTATGAAAAATCACTGTTTCTCTTTGGCTTGATTCTGCACGTCTGTTGCACCTTTTTACTTGTACAATCTTCTTAATATCTTCATCATAAGTAGTTTTTTGGCTGTAATGTTTTAGAATTTTATTACCAAACATTTTTACAAATTAATGAATGCACGTGCATGTGAGAGAAATATAAAAATGGTGCTTGCTGCTCATTATCAACAAACATATTAACTAACCAAAGCAAAATTTTCATCCTGGATTTTTGTTTTTATTAGATCCGCAGTATTCGATTGGTGAGAGACAAAGAAAGTGATAAATTTAAAGGTAAATAAACCTTGAAAAAATCCAATTATTAGAGGTAACTTAATCTTAATTTATCTTAATTTTAATTAAAGATCTTGAAAAATCTTTGAGAAAAATCAAGAACTTGGTTTATAATAGTTTTAAACTTCCAAGTTGTAAAATACTATTTTTTTGGTCATTTTAAGGATCGCACACAAACCATTTTTGCCATGCCATTAACAGCGATTCTCAATCACAAATGTGAAATCGTACAATCTGACATTATGATGAAGTAGGTTTTGGTGGACGTCAGTCAATGCATTTCCATGACATTCCATATGGCACTTGCCCTTAAAAGCTTTGTGCTTGCTGATAGTGCTGGGAAACACTCTGATTGGCGTCCACCAAAACCCTATTATGTCTCTAAAAAATTTTTTTCCTGATTTTGCACATGTGATTGAAAAGCACTGTAAAATACAACCAATCAGAATTGTTATATAGTATTTATTCAATCCAAATCCTGTAATATATTGGCAGTATTCCACTGTTTTTTTCCATCAGACATTTTGAGCCTAGTTAATGGTGTAGGGTAAAAATGGGGTAAAAATGGGTATAATTATTCATATTTTTATATTTTGTTAGGATTTTGTTATGTTGAGTTTGATGATGCAGATTCCCTACAAGAAGCCTTGACATTTGATGGCTGTGTGAGTAAAAGTAGATTTATTTCAGGGAAACTTTATACTGGAACAAAATAAAATAGCTAAATATTTTTGCATTTTTTTTGAATTCTATTTTCTTCTTATTTTTATCATATTCACAGTTCTTAGGTGGATCTGAAAGGTCCCTGAGAGTTAATATTGCTGAACAAAAAAGAGACAACAGAGATAGAGGACGAGGAGGAGGGCGTGGTGGGCACAGAGGAGGCTATGGCGGACACGACAGAGGTAAATAGTAGAATAATAACTCCCTTTACTCTTTCGAATTGAGTTATTTCTCATGTAAAAGGATCATATTACTCCTCTATTGGTTTAATATTTTCTGTTAATAATAAAGCAATTCCTTATGGTCAAAAATTGGGAAGAGAAAACGAATAAGGGAAGGAATCCCCACACCCTATAATGAGCTGCATTTGATGCTATTTTTAGAATCATTAATTTGATTGTTTGTTTTTCTGCACACCCCTAATGCGCATGCTCCACACTATTTGCTCATGTTTTATTGTGTTTATTTATTTATTGTTTAAATATATTTGCTAGGCTTTGAAGACAGAGGTGGAAGATATGGAGGTAATATTAATGAATTTTATTTAGATAAAGTAGCATATATAAGATGTGACTTGTGGCTTGCTAGTTTCAATAGGTATTTTGCATTATGTCATCATTTAATACCCCTGCTTTCTTTGTTATTCAAATATCTATTTCCTCAGTATAATATTATGAGAAAATGCTGCTAATTAACTGAACAAAAGAACCAAAATGCAGCTTGGGATTCATGCATAGGAAATGATAGTAATTGATATTTTGATCTTATTTATTATCCTCACCAAAATGTCTGAATAAATTCAGATAATCAGAGACAACCCATTCAGACAACCCACTTTCCATTATATATTTCAAAAATTTGTTTTAAGATTTTAAAACACGTCAGTACTTTATTTGAAATGAATGTCATACTGAGGAGCATTGTGTCCTAATTTTCAGGATTCGATGATAGAGGAGGGCGACGTGGAGGACATGGAGGAGGTATATGGAAAATAAAAAATTATTGGATGATGTGGACAATAAACAATATCATTATTGGTCAATTGAGCTGGGCATGACGTAAAAAAATTGTTTAATGTATGATTAACAATTATTCACCAAAGGTGAAGTGAATATTGATGAATATTTACCAAGATGAAGTTGAGCGGGTAAATATTTATGATATTCACTGAGCCTAAGGTGAATAATATTGTTTTAGTTTATTTTTGAACTTGTATGCTAGAGAAAAAGATGAAATTCAGTATTAAGAAATGTCTTAGTATTACTTTCTCATTGGCAAACTTTGGAAAACCTCATATCCACCGCTCAAAGAGGGATTTTGTCTCATAATAACTAGTCAATTGACCAATCACAGTGCTTGAAACTCTATATTTCATATAAACTCAATATTCAAGTCTCAAATGTTATGCTCATAAATAATTAGAGAATAATATTGCAAACCAGATTCACAAATATTAGGGGGGCAAAATAGTAATCAGGACCAGGAACTTTGTAAATTGAGGAATAGACCTTCACTGCACTATATAAATTTGCTATCTCAGAAAGGGTCTACAAAAACTGATATGTTATTTGAATCATCTTCAATCATCTTGAAGTTGCTTAAGAAATTGCCAAATAGTCCCCTTCACAGTTCCCTGCGCCATCTTGAAAGGTAGCCATGCCTTTGCATCAAAGCAAGACGAACAGTGAGCTTTCAATGATAATGACATTTTTTTGACACCTAGTACAATTATTCATGTGCCTCTTCCATTACAAGCTCACTGTTCGTCTTGCTTCAATGCAAAGGCACAGAGACCTTTCAAGATGGTGCAGGTAACTGCAAAGGGGACTATTGGGTGTATTATTAGAACTAGCCATAGATAAATGAATACTAACAAAGTTTTGCATCGTACTAAAGGATTTGGTGACTGGTCTGATGGAGGAAGGGGAGGGCCTCCACGAGATAGAGGCATGAGGGGAGGTGGACCCCACAATCAAGAAAATTTTGAAGAATTCAAAGAGCCATCACCTGGTATGCTACCATCTCTAGCTCCTGTATTTATTTATTTTTAACAACTTTGCTTGCAAAAAAAGGATAAAAGATGACAAGAAAATGCAAAAATGGTGTTGACAGGGAGGAACTAATACATCCTCATATGAAGTCAACCTCCCACTAAGTCAGGCTATAAAATTAAGGAAGATAACTTTTTTTAAAACTGGGGCAAAGAATGTTACCAAGATCATAGTCAATAAATTGCTTGGTTTTTACTGGATGTCATTTCCTGTCTCATGAGGAATGTCTATCAGTTGAATCATGAGTTTTCAATAGAATTTTTTCTGGTTGACAGCACATGGTGTTTGACCATCATTTGGAGGAGATAATGAGATTCAAAAACTTTTATCAGTTGATTGAAACCCAGCAATAGTCTACCTCATTCCTTCTTGTGCAGTGTTGTCCCATTTTATACCAGGTGTCATTCTCTAAAATATTATTTCTTTGTTTAATCGTTGCGTATATAAGGCACATGATGGATACAACTCAAGCAGCGAATTTTATTTTCTGTAATGAGAAAACATTGCACCTGTTAACATAGCACGTAATATTGATCCTACTTCCCATTTGTTTTCTTTTCATTTTTTCTCATTACAGAGGATTTAGCAAGAAGACCAAAGCTGAAACTCAAACCTCGTACAGTCAAGAAAGAGGAGGTGGATGAAGTTGCAATGTCAACTGAAAGATTAAAAATATTTGGAGGAGGGAAGCCTAGGGTTGAGCAGGCTGTTGAAAAAAAGGAAGACGCAAATCCAGAAACCAATCCAGAAACTGGTGAAGAAAAGCCTTCTGGCTAGGTAAATGTATCCTGTTTATATATATATCCTATAAACTCAGTATGGAATATGAAATGGCAGTAACATTACCATGGTGACAGGGCTTAAAATAAGGGCCGATCAGTCACCAAGCATGATCACAGGCCAAATTAGTTTTAAATTTGGTCATGACTCATTTCTGGCTTAACGGTTCTGGTCAAAATGACAGTCAAGGAAAGATTTTGCCAGACAAGTCCAAGTTCTGGCCGGACATTGTCTGATCTCCGGCCATTAATTTAAGCCCTTTTCAAATAGTTAATGGAAATTGTAAGACCTTTTCAGCTTGGGTATAATGTTTCTCTTGAGAATACGATTAAACACAAAAAAACTACTCAATTTGTGAAGGTAACTAGTATTACACAGAGTCATTTTCATCTAGGCTCTTTCTAGATCCAATAGAATTTAGAAGTCGATTTTTGTGGAGGGAGGAAAACGAGAGAACCTAGAAAAAAACCTCGAAGCACAGGAGAGAACCAACAAACGACTGTACTCAAATAGAACGATTCTGAGAATTGAACCTGGGTCACATTGGTGAGAGGTGAGGTCTCTCACCACTACGACACCAATGTTTCCCATGAATGTTTCCCTTTGTCCTTAATTATGAGGCTTATCCACATTGGATAGCAAAGAGAATTATCAATGGAATTATCTAACATCAAAAAAATCAATTATCAAAAGACATTCAGTCTCATTCTTACCAATACGCTTAATGCCACCACTGCGTCTTGGAAATAAAAACTATTTAAAAAGATAGTTATTGGTACCACCATCAGAAAGAGCAACCAGAAATGTGTTTTTGGAAAGTTTCATTGCTATAAGTGTCCCTAACATTTTAAAAATATTTTCGTAACTTCATTAGGATTTCATGTTTTTACTTCAAACATTCTAACTTTGTTGATAACACTAATCTATAATTTTAAAACATGAATTTTAAAAATTAATAAATGATAATGAAGTTTCAGTCATAATTGCATTCAGCATAATCATTACCCTCTGATTTCCTCTTTTCTTTTCACAGATTTGAAGCTCAAATTAACTTTGGAAAAAGCTGTCTCCATATATTTTATGCTATGAAAGTTCTGATGATATTAGCTCAAGGCCACGATGGGCATTTCGAAGTATTTGCAATAAAATCGAAAAACCACACAATAAACTATGGTCCACAGAAGTATCCATTAAAAATGTCTTGTCTTTAGGCTTTCAGAGCTACAAATACAAGATACAGGATTTGTCTTGTCACTTGTATGTATGCTAGCTTTCTGGATTTTATATAATCCATTTTGAATACTACATGTATGTCAATAAGTCTAGGCTCTGTCCTTGAAACATTTCTTTATTATTTTGAATGTGTGCAGCCTGTATTTATACTCTGAATTAAACTCTACAGGTTTGCATTCATAAAGAATTATTTTAGTATTTTTATGGTTGTGCTATTGTTTAGATATTTATGACTATTATTGTTCAATATGTATTGCAGAAAGGGAGCTGGGCTGAAGAGGATTTGGGCTTCCCCACCTTTTGTTAATATTTACTAAATTTTCAAGTCTCAGTTCCAACTTTTAGTCTGCTTTGTTTTGAAATGGACTACATCGACAATACAGTGGCCATCTTTCCATGGGGCAAAACAAAGCCAAGATGACAGAAAATATATAGTTTCATGTGTTTGTCTTTCTTTATGGGTAAAGATGATCCATGAGCCATGCTAATCCATCTTTTGTCATAATCTCCAGTGGTGAGCTGATAATATCAATCAATGTCATTACCGTAATAGATTCATTTGTCTATAATGCTCCATAATGCCTTGCAATCCAAAATGACCACTATATTGTCAAAGTAGTCCATTTTAACCCTCCCCCAACATTCAAAGGTATTCCATGGTTCTCCAAAATTTTGCTAATATTGTTTACAGCATTTGACATCTGTCAATCACTTTGAGACTCCAAGAAACCTTTATACAGCATAATAGAAATTTAATTTTCCTTGTATTTTTCTTGAGCCTTATTTATGACTGCTTGTGACAACCAAAACTGTCTTTAGTGACTGGGCAACAAGGTCATGGAGTTTCAATGGTAATCGTCATAAATATACACATCTAGCACATAGAAGTAGTATAAATATATTTTCAAGGGCAGTATAAGTTAATGTTTTTTTAAACTATTGGTTCTAATAAAGCTGTTTTGTTTTAAGCATACCAAGTGTTTCACTTTTTGAGGGCTTGAAACAAACAAAAAATATTAGTAGTAATAGTAATATGCACAATCTATCTTTTTGATACAGAGCACAAATTTTAAAAAATTGTCATTTAAAATTATTGCAATTTGAGGTTGAATGCTATAAAATAAAATACTGTATCAGTTGTTGAATAGTTTGTAGCTTGTGGTGAGAGAGGTGCACTTGCTTGGTCTCATCAATATTTTTATTCCCTTGCACCACCTTGATTTGATATTGTTTTTGTGTGTGTGTGTGTGTGTTTTTTTTATTGTCGTTGTTTTGCTTTACCCTAAATATTATTCCAACTTAATTTGTGAGTTAACCAAGCTTTAAAGCCAAACTTAAATCAACCCAGAGGTTGGTGTCATTGGCATCATTGTTCAATGAAATGGAAGATATTATAATTAAATGGCAGATATAGTATATAGAGCGAAAATAATGTGAAATGCAGGAGCTTTCCACTGATCCCCACCTCCTTCCTTATCCAACAACAACAATATCCATTTTCTCCTTGCCTGAATTTCTAAACTCCAAAGAGGGGTTATTGGGTTGCCTCTAAGTTAGTTTTACCGTGAGCGCAATACAAAAGCCTAGTAACTAGTTGACGTGTTCAACGGTCAGCGGTATCTTGTCTAACAGCAAGAATTTTATTCCATCTTTATTTTACGAACACACATAAAAACACTTCAAAAATACCTTTGTTCGTAATCAAAATGGTAAGTATCGTTATTCCTACCCGAAGGAATGAATGTTCTACTAGTATGATTGATTTTCTCCCCTTTTTTGTTGTTTAAGTCAGCAATATTTAACTTTGAAAGTCTGCTGACGGTCTTCCTGCTGTTGATCTGTACGTGTGCTTATGTTCGATCCATCTACCCATCTTTACTGGATAAGAATAAAACTGGGTGAGTAGATCGCAAGATTACAATAATCCAACTGGCATACATGAAGTAGAAAGAGAGTTGATGATCAAAAAATACAATTGTCTTTAGAAAGAATTTTTTAATGCATTTGGGACAATGTAATTATTGTTCTAAGGAAATGAGGTCTTAAATTACAAAATTAAATCACTTATGTTCTATTGTTTTAAGGTAACATTATTATAATATTTATTCTCTTCAATCAGTATGGTTTTTCATTAACAATTAATTTTTTTTTTGTATATTTTTAGACTTTTGGGCATATTTTGGAAAGCTGCTAGAATAGGTAAAGAATCCAAAGGAAGATATTGCATTTGAATTTGATTTTTATACAACTATAAAGGGAATCGAGGATGGTGTTGCAGTAGTGTAGTTACCTCATACTTGTGGGGTGTTCTTTGGGTTGAGGGGTTTCCCCTAAGCTCTCTGGTTTTTCTCCCTCTACAAAACCAATCATATGAATTCCAATTTGATCTGTGAGTTAACCTTGCCCTGACTTAGATCAGCCCAGCGGTTGTTTCAGGTTGACAATCTGTGAGTTAACCTTGTCCTAACTTAGATCTGCCTGGAGGTTGTTTTGGGGTTCAATTTGTCAGTTAGCCTTGCCCTAACTTAGATCAGTCCGGAGGTTGCTTCAGGGTTCAATCTGTGAGTTAGCGATGCCCTGACTTAGTTCAGGCTAGAGTTTGAAAGAAAACCTTCAAGGCTTCTTTATAACTAATCATTACATCACAGTGTCCAATCATACCCTACTAGCAGAGGTCTTTTTCTTCCCTCCATTTTGGTTGTATCAGCCTGCCCTGCGAAGGGGAAGAAAAAACAACCTCTGCTGGCAGGGTAGACCAATCATACCATTAAAGAAAGTCACATATATTTTACATGGCTATTTTCTTCTTCTTTGAATTCTAGGAGAAAGAAAGAGTCCCTATGTTGCATTATGTTGTCTAGCTATGGCAGGAAGTATTCTTTTCTGGCACTAAATGACAGTAACTTCATAGAAGAAATATATGATATAATTACATACAGTGTTTGTGATGGTGACCAAGAAGGAATTAAATCCTGGAGGTGTGGATGAGAAACAGCTCTTGGGGACAATGGCTATAATATTTTTAAAATAACTGGTCTGAACTCAAAGGGATTATCAAAAATGAGGATATGCTGACAGGAAACTCGATAAAGAAAAATTTTGCATCATGACTGTAACCAATAATTTTAATTGGATAAGCAGTGGTCTTACATCCTGTTGCAGGGCCATTCTGTTGATGTATATACATCTATGTGGCAGTTTCTAAGGTTTTAGTTTATGAACTGATCATTGAGGAAAAAACTGGATCAATTATGTGACTGTTTTACTAGTAAGGGACATTAAATAGATGCCATCTTGGAAGTATATTTTCTAAAACCTTTCCACAATGCACTGCAATGCTATCTTGTCCAATTTGTTTTTCTTCAGCCTCAAAATAGCTCATAATCATCATATCAATATAAACTTATTTCAAAAGACTTTGTCATCACCAATGGTGATAGGCAATTGCTCATTCCAAGATCCAAGAAATGACTTGCGTTTCTCATAATCATTCTTGTAAACAACACAGAGGTTAGTCTTGAGATATCCAGTGTTGTTTCTAGCCAACAAAACCATCGTAGACCTCAATTGTTCAAGTTTAACTGCATGCCCATAATTCCTTTTCATCGTAGAATGACCTATCGCTTTTGGCGATGACAACATTTTTTTGAAATAGGTGTATACTATTAAAATGGGAAACTTGTGTAATACTTTTTTAACTTAATAAGTATATATTATGAATACTTTCTATGGCACAAAGCCTACTCATGTATTTAACCTGTTTCTCTATCAACGAATTAATGTAGCTTATATATTAACATTTAGAAATCAGAAAATAAATTTATAAATACAGATTTTAAATACTATACTTTCGTCTTGGTTTATCTGGATTCACACAAAAAAATTAAAAGATCATGAAACTTGCTACAGACACTACCAGAACCTACTAAAAGACACACAGTAAGTTATGATTGAAGTTTATTAGCTATTTACGCTGAAATTCCACAAAATGCAAAATCCCCATACATTCTGGGTTAGGCTTCATGAATTTGCAACGTCTCCTGTGATTGGTTAGGTTTAGGGGCGGGGTTGGGGAAAGGTCATTGTTTTCTATTGTTCTACACATTTACGCCCTCCAATAGGATCACATCCTGCAAATTTGTGAAGGACGACCCTACTTTCTCTACTAATGCGGAGCTCGGGCTACCTGCGCAAAAATGGTGCTATTTTAATACTGGGCTCCCTGTGTGTTAAGTAATATGGCGGCGGCCACGACAACATTTGCATCGAAGTCGAAATCTTTCGTAAATCAGTCATTCTTCTTACCCACTCGTTTACTTGCATTTCGTAACACAAACCTTACTTGTTTAGCCATCAAGAGACAGATTACGGGTCTTTCTAGTGGTAAAGAAGTGTTGTTTAAGAGCCAAAGAAGTTTCCGAAGTGTGTTCTTGGCGTTCGGGACAGCTGTGTCGCTAGCTTGTGTGCTTGTTCTTCGAGAACGAAATAGGAAAGTAAGATGCGAGGAACAGGCACTTGAAGATGTTAAATCTGATGATTCAAAGCCTACATCTTCAGACGTATCCTTTAAAATGGGAAGAAAGCGTTGCTTCTTAAAACGGCTGCGAGCGAGACTAGGAGCGCAGCCCAAGTTGCAACTGCCCGCGAAAAACATTGGTGGACAATTACGTCTCCTCAAACTTAAGGACCAATAAATCTCCAGTATTGTGCTTTTTTTGCCTGTTTTTCGTATTGATAGTTTTCACAACCGCCATGTTGGATGAATTTTAAAAAAGATTTGTCATTAGTCTCTTTTGTTATGTCGTCCAACATGGCCTCCGTGTCCTTTGTTATTTCATTCTCTTGGGAATGATTAAAAACCAGCAATAGAATAAAAGAAGTACTAGATTAGCTGCACCATCCTCCCAACAACCCTTAAGCCTGGTTTTCCCCAGCATGAGTGCCAGGGGAGCTTTTGTTTCTTAGTGAGATAGTCTACCAGAAGACTGCAGAGCCCTGTCATTCTTACTGGGCACTTTGACAAGCATGCGTAGTGAGAATTATGACTGGATTCTGGGGTTAAGAGTTTAAATAAATTGAAATAGAGAGGTCAATTAATCCTTAATAATAACAAGCTTTGTCCCAGAACAAGGTTACTAGACCCTGTCTCCTTGAAGGTGGCCATAGAGGAGTCTCGCGTTTTCCTTCAACAAGTCAGTGAAGAGACTGGTGCTCCAGGCTTAGTTGTGGCTGTCAGTATTGACGGCAAGCTGGTTTGGAGTGAAGGATTAGGATATGCTGACCTTGAAAATAATGTTAAATGCACACCTAAGACAGTCATGAGAATAGCAAGCATTAGCAAACCATTAACAGCAGCTGCTGCAGGTAATGTATTTAATTTCATGACTGGTATTTTAAGTGAGGTCTATTGCTGTTAATGATGATTATAATGATAAAAAATACAATATGTACAGCAGAAGCAGAGTTCCTTAAAATTGCTATGGAGCTTCATTTAGGAAAATATAGCAGATTAGGATGCATAAGACTAAAAGTATAGGGGGGATGCTGAGATTTGCAAAATGTAGTGGATATTAGCAAAAAAATGTGTGTATGGGGGGGGGGGGATGGGGAGGCTTTAGCCCCCAGCACTTCCCTCTTTGCAATACCCTTCATAGGTAGAATACCATTTTAATTTTGCCTTTCACAGTTGTTGTCTGACTTTGAGGGGTTTTCTCCACATACTTTTCCTCCCTCTGATTTCTCCCTCTAAAAAATCAGCATGTAGTTTGAAAGTTGCGCACATAGAATGTTAAATGTAGTGGTAGTGTGTGTACCTGAAAATGGGCAAACTGGATCAAACCTGTATTTATAATTATTTGCCCCAATTATTACAAAGGGAAATAAACAGATTTACATCTTGAAGGAAAGTTTTATAATCATAATTAATTCCAATCCTCATTTTTTCAGCTAAGCTTTACGAGCAAGACAAACTCGACATAGATGCTCCAATACAGAAGTATGTACCCACATTTCCTCAAAAGTTCTACAAAGGAAAGCAAGTTACCATAACAACGAGGCAGCTGCTCTCCCACCTTGGGGGCATCCGACATTATAATAAAAATACTCTGCCAAAAGAAGACTGTGAAACAAAGGTAAACAATCATGTTTATATTTTTTTAAACAATTGATTAAAGTAGTAAAATACATCCTCATACATTTAATTCTAGTCATATGGTATCAGGCTCATCTTAGGATATTACTGATTACATTATTTGATGTTGTATTGTGTGTTCATGTACAATATATAAGGTGCTCATTCAAAAAGTCTCCAAATAATGCCGCATGAAAAAAAGCAGCAAACAACCCTGGAATTAAAATGTTCCAAGAAGAAAAAAACGTAATTCAAAGTAAAGTAAAATATCTACTAAATCAGCTAAAATATAATAATAATGATAATTGATATTTTTAAAGAGTACTTTGATTTGTGTATTAACCATTCCGAGGTTGAGGAAAAAACTGGGTCAAGTTGGTAATGCAGTGCATTTAGGGGACAAAATAGACGTCATTTTGGAAATATATCCTCTCAATTATTCCCATTATGCAATGCAATGCAATGCCAACTCGATCCAGTTCTTCCCCAAACCTAGGAAAACCTAACCTAACCTAGGAAAACCTAACCAAACCTAATGAAAACTTCAAAGGTACCTAAGGAAGGTTATCTAGGAGGAAGCAAAAAAGGTATATTTCATGTCACTGGCATAAGCCTTCGTTATTCATGTGCCAACCAGAGATCGATTGGCCGGTGACAAAAAAGCAACTTGTGACGAGCTTTTGTGGAAATGGTTGGCATATTACAGTGCGAATTGAAAATCCGTGGACACCTAGAAATATTCCAGGAATGTTCTATTCTTTGGCCCATCAGAATTGACTTTCTAACCACAAGATAACGGAAAGATCATTAATAACGCTTCTGATGGCTATTAAACATTTTTTGAAGTATTTCTACACTGTAGGTGCCCACGGTTTTTCGATTCACACTGTAACACCACAACGATTTTGCTAGTAAACATGAAGTATCGAAAATGAAACATTTAGAAGCGGTCCTCAATCAAGATTTCGTAATGCTTAGGAGTATTGACCAAGCGCCCCTCTCCTTCTAAATTTTCTAATGAACAATTCGGGGCACGCTTGATCAAGAAGCGGTGTAATATCTTGGACGCCACCAAGAAAACGACCCTTTTAGCCATTGATTCTCCAATACACACTCGCCGACCTGCACCAAAAGGCAAATAAGCTACATTATTGACTGCAAAATGACCATTCTCATCAATGAACCTGGTTGGATCAAAATCATCTGGGTTGTTCCAGAACTTCTTATCGTGGTTTAGTTCCCAACCATTGATTAAGACCATGGTGTCTTTAGGGATGAAGTAGCCGTCCAAAGTCGTGTCTCGTGTAGCTTTGTGTGGTAGTAGTAGTGGCACTAGGCTAGAATAGCGCAGGGTCTCTGCTATTGTCGCCTGTAGGTAGTGAAGATTATCTCGGTCATTCAACTCTGGTTCGCGCTCACGACCTACGACGCGCTCGAGCTCGGCGTGGATCTTTGCTTGAAATTCTGGATGTCGGGCAAGGTAGATGATCATCCAAATAATAGTAGTAGTCGTAGTTTCCTGACCAGCGATGAAGACATCCTGCATAGTCATGATCACGTTGTCTGTTTGGATCTTTTGCTTAGCTGTGCTGTCTAGTTTTTCTTCTTCGAGTTTAGCCTTGAGTAGTGCGTCAGTGAGATCTCGTATTTTACCCTCTTCGTACGTGTCTACGTGTTCTTTGTACTTACGGTTGAGAACTCTGTCTCTCGAGGCGATAATCTCGTTGAAAGCCTTGGTGTGTTTGACTGGGAAGTGAATAAGCCATGGAAACAGGTCTAATACTCCTCCAATCACCCAAGTGGCGTTGTGGTTGTTCTCTGCTATCTCAAGGAACTCTTCATCATCGATTTCGTACCTTTCACCAAACACAATGGCACAGATGATGTTCATGGCTTTGATTCTTTAGCTTTGAATCTGAAGATTTACAAAAAATTATTGCATTAGGGAATTGCTACTGCATTAGGAAATTGCTACTCCTTGGGCTGAAAGGATTAGAGAATTGATACTGTGAAACTAAGACTCGGCATCACATATGAGTCAAGTTTCTCAATTTCCTTTATTCGAGGGTTTTCTCCTGTGTGAAATCGCCTATAGAACCCGGCATCTCGGCCTTTTATACAGGGATCCAAAACTGCGAACGTCGAAGCGACAATAAATATAACCTACGTACCACAGGGTACACACTCTTGAACAACTTTACAAACCTTTTTATCAACTCTTCAATTTCCATGGCGACTTTTTCCTCGAGTTTGGGAGCGTACATACGAAGAGCCGAGTGTGTAAGCTTTCTCTGTAGCACCAACGTCGGGTTGAAGTCCGTGAACCCAATTCCCTTGGATCCCCTGGAGAAGATATTTCCAGTGAAAGTAACAGGGCGCCCTGAAAAGTCATCCTTTTTAGACATCATTGCTTCACGTGCAGATTGGACAGAGTTGATGACCACGACTCTATAACCTTGTAAATACACGGTGAACAGGTTACCATATTTCTTAGCAAGCGCACTTAAGGCACGATGCATTTGAGGCATATAGCTGATGACGTTGTAGATGTTTCCGATCAGTGGTAGTGGTGGCGGGCCTGGCGGAAGGTTCGAGGGTTCTCGCAGGCGTCCAATCAAGTGTTGTAGTAGGATTATAGTGATTATAAGGATAATGCCTTCTAGAATCATCTCGTAACGGCTTTAGGTACACCTACAAAAAATCGGTATCATTAATTGTATTGGAAGTGGAAAACATATTCTTAAATCTTATTCTGCCTAATCTTAAACTAGAGACAAGAGAAAATGAACTAAGAGAAGGAATCCCCGTGCCCCATCATGTGCACACTTCGATGCTATTTTTAGAATCTGTTTGCTAACGTTTTCTTGTGCTTTTCTTATCTTCAAATCTGCCCTCAAGATGACAATGTCGGTCGAAAGCTTTGGAAAATAAATGTAAAATTATTTCAGAAAGTTGAACAAATTACTACTTCAATTTCCTGTCGTATTTGCCAATCTTTCGACGTGCACATTCATATCCAGGGCAGAGTCGAAATAAAGGAAAAACCCCCAAAACGTAAGCAAACAGCGTAGAGCGAGCGCGCGCAGTAAATGCGCGGGCAGAAAAAAAATGGTTTAAAAATAGCATCAAACTGTGCATATGATGGTACAAGGCTATATAGAGGTAATTCCTTCTCTTAGTTCATTTTCTCTTGCTAGAGACCTTTAGCATCGTGTTTACCGCTAACCTGTAACCGCTAGGAATCAGGCCCCGAAAAACATCCGCAAACACGAAGAAGCAATTGGCATCAATGAAATTTAATATGGCCTCTCTTCCAACGACAACTTCGTTATGACGTCTTGATAAATGTCGAAAGTTCGAAGAAAAACGCCTGACGTCGAACTGCAGATTGAAGTTTGCGAGACTAGCAAGAACTTCTTGCTAAAGGTCTCTACTACTGTTTCATTAGAAACGCCGACGCAACTCACACTAGTTTTTAGCCAGTTATCTCTTCTTTGTTCTTTATGCTTATTGGTCGATCACAGCGGGTCGACCAATCAGGAAAGAGATCACAACAAGCTTTATTCCTTATAACAGAGCGAGAAAGGAATAACAAAATTTTACCCATGAATTCGAGGATGGGTGCTCTAAAATGAAAAAAGCATTTAATCGCAGTAATCTTACACCCAGGGTACTCTTCTATTAAAAATCATAAAATAAAATGCAAACGAAAAATTTATAGGCCATGACTTTGCATCCTATATGTGTGCACACTTTACAAAGACACACTTCCACCAGCATTTTCGTTTGTTTCTAGAACAGTGGTCACAGTCACTGAACCGAAATTGTCATATCTCATTAATTTATCGATGTTTCATGTTCACAAAATTACTATATTTGCCTAAAACTACAATCGTAATTTTGTTATTCTAGCTTAGAGCAAAGGTGATGCGTCGATATTTTAGTCTAGCTTTATGTGTTCAAACACCATTGGAAAAAAAAAACAGATTTCTGAATTTGCTAATGTTCTATGAAGCGTAGACTCAAAATCATTGCAAATCATTATACAAATCATTATTATAATTGGTTCATAAACAGCTTGATTGCATTTACATCAAGAAAAGTCGAAATTCAAAAATAATGTTTTGTTGTAAGTCGTAAGTCAACAAATCTTATCTGTCAGGTTAAAAAATAAATAATAATAATAATGTGAAGCCAAAGAGTTTATCAAGTAATTCTTTAGTTTTTAAATCTTCTTTAAAATTCTTCCCAGAAACTGGTTAAGAATAAAACGTTTTTCGGGACCTTTGATTATGTTATCAATGATTTGCAAAACCAGATTTTTCAGAGCTTATTATTGCTTTATTTTAGATGGTAATGGTGACTGGAAAAATTCTGTTTTCGCGAGATTTCTGTAGGTGTCCACTCTGCTATGTGCGATCGGAGGAGTACGAAGCTACTTTAAAAAAACTTCGTTCTGCATACTAAAATAATAAATCTCTCTTTTCAAGCATTGAAATCGCCAACAAGAACATATGCCGGACTAGGAGCTATTGTCTCTTATAACTTGGAGTATTATTTTGTAATATCAATATGTCGAACTGAAGTACCTAAACTACGCCGGAATATTCGTATTACTAAGTTAATCCTTCATAAACCATTGAAGCATAGCTAAGATAAATTGCTAAGTAATATGATATAATATGATAATATAACATCATTACTATCTATCATGATATGTAATTTATCCAAGTATTGGATGTGATTGCTACATTTTCACATCACTCCAAAAGACTCCATCTTTATGCATGAAATCCTTTAAGTACTTTTTACTAACTGGACTCTTAAGAATCCTCATTAGATGTCCCGCCTTAACATTACATGTACAGAACGTAAAAATAACCTCCTCTTAAGTTCAAGTAATGTAGATGAAGATTTTTCTAATAGCTTTGATAAAGTAGTTGACTTCACCTCTTCGTCGAACTGATTCTTAAGTTTTGGTTTTTGCGAGCTTTTTGTATTTGTTAGATTAACAATAATGCAAATGTCGATCCAAGGCCAGGGTTAAAGTATGTTCAGCGTTTGGTTAAAGTAAACACAAGTGACGCTGGTCGTAACACCAGGAGTTCACTGAAGTTCTAGATTTCAGTTGCGGCAAAACGGGAGAAAATAAGCTTTCCTTGTTCTCCCAAATACGGCAAAAATAGGACATGAAAGAATTTACCAACCGTAAAATGATTCAATGTTCTGCGCGATTCGTTTCCTGCCCTTTTTGGTCAGTGCCGCTCCGAACTTAAAATGTGGTACTGAAATTTTACATAAATTATTCTTGGACTGAATTGTCCTAATTCACTATTACGTCACTGCTTGTTTATGTGGGGTATAGAATCGCCAAATTTAATAGAAAATTCAACAAAATTTGCTCCTAGCCAAACAGTTTAATCTAAAATGGCCTGGTTTTCAGAAATAATGTGTGTTAATACGTACTAAAAAATATTATGAGCGTTTGTTGGCTATTCTACGTCTCTTCGTGGATTGATACGGGTTTTAGAACAATTTTCGGTGAATTTGCGTTGATTTGTCCCCGTCCGACGACCATGATCCTTTACGTTTAAACAATAGGTTGTTGAAAATTGCTTTGATGTGACGTCATAGTGAATTAGGGCAAATGATGGGTTGCAAGCATTCTTAATAAATAAATTTAAGTTTTCTTTCTTTTCAATAAATTTCGACATCACCTTGTCAAAGTAGTATAACAAATTGACGACGCAATTTATCGTCAATAAGAGGACAGACACATGAAAAACTGATGTCAATTTGTTTTTTACAATAACAAAAACGATAAAAACTTCTCATTTTTAGCGATCAAAACAACCAACGGAAAGAGCGCGCGCTCGTTGACGTCAGCTTTATCTGTCTGTCCTCTTATTGATGATAAAAACTAACCAATCAGCGCGCGAGAAATTTGTAAGTTATTGTAAAATGATTAATATCTGTTATTAGGGAATCAAGGGAGGTCACCTCTGGAGTCATTGGGTTCTATTCCTAGACTTGGCATCACATGTAAATAGAGTCTTTTAGGTCTTTCCTTTGATTCCAGGGATTCACTCCGAGTTGTACGGTTTTCCTCATCCGCAAATTCTCTAAATTCCAATTCGTTGTGTGAATTAGGTTGCTATCAATAGACGTCACTTCCGGTAATAGCTCTTTTTTGATGGCTTGTAGAATCCTGGAGGTTGTTTTGATCTCTTGTTTTCTGGTTTGATGGCGTGAAAATAGTCAAATACAATAGTTTGAGGACTTATTTTGATATGTTTTGACTTAGCATCCGCTAGTTGCCCCCAGTCAACCGCTTGTTTGCCCCCAGTCAACTCCAAAAAGTCACGTGATTGATAGTAGCAATAAAAAGTGCAGCAAAACGTACTGATATGGTCAGGTCGGGGCGCAAGTTCCTGATTCCGTCTAATTAACATCGTCTCCGCCTCGAGCTACACTATACAAAACAGTATTCCTTTATTTCGTTTAAAAGAAACCCAGTGCCAGCATCTCGTGCATTGTGATTGGTTCAAAGAATGTCTTCAATTCCGTACCGTGACTGTTGTATGTCCGAGCATTTTTATTGGATAAGCAGTAATATCACGCCCTGTGATTGGTTCAAAGAACGTCATCTATGCGGCCGTGACTTTGCCGTGTGTGCTTTCACAGTTGTGCGAAAGTCCTCACTAAATTTTAAACAAGAGCAAACGTTGAAGTCAAAATTTTTATTTTAATATTTTTAATTTAGTAGTTAATAGTTTTACTCACTATACTGTTATTGAGGATTCACAGCCCTTATGCCCCCCACCTTTCTTGAGACCTAACCCTTCCCCCCTTCCCCCCATCCCACCACTATCACATGCACACACACAGACACTCGCCAACGTAAAAGGTGAAGGGTGTCATTTCCTCTGTATGAGTTCCTCAGATGCATTCTATCCTTTTAAATGAAGATTCTAAGTATTATTATCTATTGAGTGTAATATTAACTTCAGTTGCAAACAACACCGTTACTATGCAGCATCAACATTCCTCTTTCTCATACACACTTCAAAGGGAAGGGGCGTACGCACGATGCCATCTTTTCCTGCTGGTTCTTTGAACGGTTCCGTTGGCGCCTTAAATTCAAATTGCTGGAGTAGGCCACAGATGAAGAGGAACATTTCCTGTCTCGCCAGCGCTTTGCCAAGACAAACCCTTCGTCCAGCACTAAACGGCATGTAACTAAGCTTACTCGTTTCTCGCATCTTCCCATCAGAGTCAAGAAACCTTTCAGGAACAAACTCCATAGGATCTTTCCATTGTTTCTCGTCGTGATGGATGGCCCAGAGGTTTAAGAAAACGACAGTGTCTTTGGGGATGGTGTAGCCTTGAAGAGACGTGTCCTTCGTTGCCTTGTGGGGAATAGAGAGAGGAGCCACGCTTGATAGCCGCGAAGTCTCGGCTAGTACTGCCTCCACATAGGGAAGGTTTTCTTTGTCTTTGAGCTCTGGTTTTCGATCAAATCCCACCACTTCATCCAACTGGGCATGAATTTTGGCTTGGATTTTGGGGTGCGTCACCAAATGCACCAACGTCCACAGAATGGTTGTGGTGATTGTCTCGTTACCTGCAATAAACACGTCTTGCATGGTCATGATCACGTGATCATCTTCGATGACGTCATCAGATTTCATATCCGTCTTCTCTTCGTCTAGTTTGGCTGTCAGCAGCGCATGTGTCAGGTCACCTGTCTTGCCCTCCTTCAAAGTGGCGAGGTGTTCGTGGTATTTGCGGTTGAGAATTTTGTCTTTAATTTCACAGCATTTATTAATGTCTCTCACCGCCTGGATTGGGAAGTGGATCAACCACGGAAACAACCCGAGTATGCTCGTCGTTTCTCCCACTCTACACGCGGTGTCCGTAAAATACACGCACTTTAGAAACTCCGGGTCCTCGACGCTATACCGCTGACCAAACAGCATGGCGCAGATGACGTTCATGATGGATAGCTGGATGTCGTTCTTGAGGTTGGCAGGGTTCGACCCATACGCATTCATTCTCTCCACAAGATCATTTAGTTCAGTCTGTACGACGTCTTGTACTTGTGGGCTGAAGAGACGTAGTGCTTTGCTGCCGATTTTTCTCAGCAGTTTCAGTCGCTCAGAATAATCACCAAACACAATATCCTTAGAATGACGGGTTACGTAATCGCCGGTGAACACGTACGGTCTTCCCGCAAAGTCGTCTTTCTTCGTCAGTAGTGCTTCACGTGCAATCTCCGCTGAATTTATAACAACTGCTCGCTGTCCCTGTAGGTAGACCGTAAAGATATCGCCATACTTTCGCCTTAGATCACAAAACGCCAGATGCATGTATGGCATAGAACTCATGACGTCTAAGAGGTTACCAACCAGAGGTAAAGGGCGAGGTCCTGGAGGCATATGAGGTGGCTCTCTGAGGCGAGTGATGAGGAAGTGCAGAACGATTCCAGTGACTACAAGTAGTACAATTTCTAGTATCATCTTGTTGGTTTGGTATTTAATCCAGAAATACCTAAAAACAATAGGAGTTTAACTATAATTGTCATCATATAAAAATTGAATCACTATAGCCCGGTTTACACGGGCCGGGACGCAAATGTAAACGCTATTGTGAAGTGCAAATGCAAACAAGTTAATTAAGGTAAACTGACGTACATTCAAAGTAGTACTTGTATACATCAAAGACATTTTTGGTCTTGCGTTTGTGCACATGATCTCACGTTCAAAATGTAAACGCAAGCACAATTTTAAAAAAAATAAATGAAAAAGTTTCCATTCTCTACGCTTGCGTTTGCGTTACTCTATTTGGTTGTGCTTGCATTATTTTGCGTTGCTCGTGTGAACCAAGTTAATCTGCGAAAAATAAAAAGGAAAGTTGATACAGAATAGATCTAGTACGAGTCAGCCGAGTATGACGAAATCGCATGATCCTATAGGATGTGTTTTCAGATCAGTTCTAATATTGGAACTCTTCTTGGTAGCAATAATAACATACACGTTGCGTGTTCTCAAATACACTCAATGTCGGGGGATCAAAAAAACAAAAAATTGAAGCCGATACTCTTTTTGGGAGATTCAAAAGTCTACAAATTATCCCTAGAAATGTTTGCCTAGAAGTTTTGTAATAATTTTCGGGACTGATATTTCAGGTATTTTTATTCTGATTCAATTACTGCCCGCGCTTAACATTCCTCTAATTTTTTGCCAATATTGTTTATCGGATTTCTTTTTGAAACTGCTCAATGACACACGGTTTTCAAATCAAAAATAATTAGATTTGTGTTTAATTAGTTCACCTTAATGCAATTACCTACACAGCTACGCTCAAATTTCTAATTTCAACATCCAAACGTTTTGAAGCAGATGTTTCAGTCTCTCGATGATATTGGTGTTGAAGCTTTCTGTTTTTCCTTCACTTGTAGATTGCTTGTTTGTTTGCTTGCTTTTTGTTATAACAAATGTACACTTTACTCAAATCTGCGTCTCTTCTCTTGCGGTGAAATAAAGGGAAGCGCAGTATAATAATAATAATAATGATGATGATTTTATATAGC